TGGGCACAGCTCTATGGGCCTTCTGTGCCCCCCTGCGTTATTTAGAAAGGGAGAGGACAGAAGGAAGAAAAAGGAGAGAAGTTCTACATCTGTTTAGATGTTACACACACACCCGGCCAGAGCCGGGACAACCCTGAAAGGCAAGAGGAAGAAAAAAGCGGACACACGACGGGCAGACGGCCAAAAACAGCGCAGGGGGGGGAGGGGAACAGACGGACCTCCGGAACCAACCTACACGGCGAAACGGACCTGACCAAAACAGCGCACACACCTAAACCCCACGACACATTACGGAGAGGCACGCGGGGAAAATTAGGGACCAAATGGGGGACTAGTTGGTAACAGACAAGGAAACAAAAAAACAATTGTTAAACAACAGGATTCAGTCCCTAAATTCCTAAATGTCGTGCGATTCTTCCCTGCACCGGGACCGTGTTCAAGTCAGCCACAAGGGCATAAAACAGCTTCCAAGTTCCAACGAATTAGATGCACAATATGTTTGACCTCACCAGACAACCAAAAAGAAAAAAGACCACACCTGAAGGACGTGTGCCTGCCTTTTCACAATGACTTGACATGATGTCGTGTAACTGCAAAGGTTGCTGCAAAAACGGAGGTTTGTGGTTGTTCAGTACGGCTTCCCAAGGAAGAATGCATCACTCAAGGTTCTGATGGGACCGCAGGAATAGCGGGACAACCCTAAAAAAGCTGGAAAACGGTAAGGCCGGCTGTTGCAATTTACTTAGATGAATTACCAAATTAAAATGTGTTAATTCGGAAGTCAGGACAGTCATCATTCACCCTGAAAAGGGTTGCCTCCAATGGCTCCATGGCACCATGTCGGAGTCACCATGGAAATCACACTAGACAAGAATGGATCATTATATGATCCGGCAGGAACTGAATCCTGAAACATGCAGACTGATGCAGCTGAACTAATCGTAAATGACTTCTAGGTCCTTGCTCTGAGGAAGGTTCTGATGCATCTAAAACCAATCGTAAATGACCAAAAGTAATTCCAGATTGCGACAACCGTGAAGTGAAAATACTGCTGTGCGGTTCTAGGCTTGGCCGCTTGCCATTTCGGAAAATTGATATCGAAACCGCAGGTACGTCCAGGTGATCAGCCTGGATATCCTAAGGACACCATAGAGAGCTTCGTTGGGCACAGCTCTATGGGCCTTCTGTGCCCCCCTGCGTTATTTAGAAAGGGAGAGGACAGAAGGAAGAAAAAGGAGAGAAGTTTTACATCTGTTTAGATGTTACACACACATTACCCACACACAACTTACTCACACGCAACTTGTCCACACACAGCTTGTCACCACAACTTACTCACACACACAACTTGTCCACACACAACCTGTCACCACACAACTTACTCACACGCCTTTACGTGGCCGGCGTGGCACTTATGACACTGGGCTGGCTCTGGTGGCGCGCTCGGTTCCCGTGGGCGCCGCAGCTGTTTGCCTGGCAGGCGTGGCACTTGGCGACATCGACCGTCACTTTACGTGGCAGGCGTGGCGCTTGGCGACATCGACCTCCACTTTGCGTGGCAGGCGCGGCGCTTACGGCACTGGGCTGGCTCTGGTGGCGCGCTTGGTTCCCGTTTGACGCCGTGGGCGCCGCCGCAGTTTGCGTGGCAGGCGTGGCGCTTGGCGCTTTTGGCGCCATGGGCACCGCCGCTGTTGGCATGGCAGGCGTGGCGCTTGGCGGCATTGACCGTCACTTTGCCTGGCAGGCGTGGCGCTTCGCGACATAGATGTCCACTTTGCGTGGCAAGCGTGGCCCTTATGGCACTGGGCGCTGGCTCTGGTGGCGCGCTTGGTTCCCGTTTGGCGCCGTGGGCGCCGCGGCTGTTGGTGTGGCAGGCGTGGCGCTTGGCGGCATTGACGGTCACTTTGCCTGGCAGGCGTGGCACTTGGCGACATGGATCGCCACTTTGCGTGGCAGGCGTGGCGCTTGGCGACATCGACCTCCACTTTGCGTGGCCGGCGTGGCACTTACGGCACTGGGCTGGCTCTGGTGGCGCGCTTGGTTCCCGTTTGGCGCCGTGGGCGCCGCGGCTGTTTGCGTGGCAGGCGTGGCGCTTGTCCACACACACAACTTACTCTCACACAACTTGTCTCACACGCAACTTGCTCACAAATTTATGTTCACCTCTCCCCTTAGTTCTAATGTTTTTTAAACTTGAAAAAAAGGAAAAAAAAGGAAAACACATGGAAAATCAAAAAGCAAAACTTCAAAACCGAAAAAACAGGAAGCAAAACAAATGGGAAAACAAAGGAACGTCAAAAAGGGTGAAAAAATGGGGAAAAATGGACTTGTCCATTTGCATTTTTGTTGCTTTTTCGATTTGCTTTTGTTTTGCTTTTATTTTGTTTTTTTTTTTGGCTTTTTGCCTGGAAAAAGCAAAATAAAAGCAAACAAAAAGCAAATCGAAAAAGCAAACAAAATGCAAATGGACAAGTCCATTTTTTCCCCATTTTTTCCCCTTTTTGTCTTTCCTTTTTTTTTTCTTCTTTTTTTCCCTTTTATTTTGCTTTTGTGTTTTTTGGATTTTGCTGATTTGCTTTTTGGTTTTTCCATTTTTTTGCATTTTTCGCACTTTTTTTCAAGTTTGCGAGCTTAAAAATAACTTGTCCACAAACGACTCACATACACACACACAACTTGTCCACACACAGCTTTCTCACACACAACTTGTCCACACACAACTTACTCACACAACACTTAGTCACACACATTCCTCACACACAACTTGTCCACACACAACTTGTCACCCACAACTTACTCACACACAACTTGTCCACACACAACTTAATCACACACAAGTTGCTACAACATTTGTTGCTCATTAATTATTGGAAGAAGTTGACATGTGGGGTTATCCGGTCCTTTAATTTTTGCACGTAAGATGCATTCCACAACAAAATTCGCAATGACAGTTCTGAGCAAGTGTGTGACTCATGCTGGATTCGTCATGGTGGCATGAGCCATTCGGGGAATACTTTTCTAGGTAGGAATCTTGAACCTTCGGCTTGATCTCTGAATTTACATTTTTCAACTTGGTTATTCGTTTAAGTAAAGTGAAACAGTCGGCCTTCTTTCACTGTTTCACCCGTCGATCGATTTGTGTTGAAACAGCCGCCCGCTGCTTGGGGACTCGCTAATTTCATTTCACTGATCGTTGCCTGCATTGTTGGACGCCACGACAACTTCTCCTTTCCAATCATTGCTCGAGCAGTGTTAGCCGTCGACATTTGCAACATGAGGATTCCAGGCACAGGCCATGCTTGCAGGTTTGGTGATTCTTCCTTTTGGTTTCTCTGGAAAGGTTTAAGTAATGATGACCGCGTAAGCCGTTTACAGGGTTGTGACTTGACAGCTGAGGGCCTTTGAGCCTTATCACGAAAATTTGCATGCGTTGATGGATGCATCATTTCACCAACTAGTCCCCCATGGGTCCCTTATCTCATGATTGCTCCTCTCTACAGGTAGGTTGGGTCCTGCGCCTGCTGAGGTAGGCTTAGGTTGCGCTGTGGTAGGTTGGTTTAGGCGCTTCCGTCTTCCCCCTCCTCCGTTGGTCTTGTTCCGTTCCGTCCTCCTCCGTTTTTCTTTTCTTGCCCTTTCAGGGTTGCCCGTTTTGGGCTAGGTGTGTTTGTGTTGGTGTTTGCTCCTTCCCTCTTCTTTTGCGTTCCCCTCTTTGGTTAAGTAACTTTCATCTCATCTTCATTCCCACCGCATCTTCATCTCCTTCATCCTCATTTTCATCTCATTTGTCCGGACCTTAATTTTCCCACCCTCCTGCGGGAGGGTGTGTGTGTGTGGAACATCTGAACAGATGTAAGACTTCTAACTGTCGTCTTTTCTGTTTTCACTCGGATGTTCCTCCTTTTGAATCTGAATTTCGCAGCAGGGGGCCAGGAAACCCATGCCTGTCTGTCCTGGCCAACGAAGACCAGACAGCATGGGGGTGAAAACGTACCTGCAATTTTCCAATTTGTCGTCAATGGCAACCGGCTAAGCCAAGAACCGGCGCGTCGTTTTTCCAACGGTTTTTCAAACCAAACTCGAACATTTGGACCTCCATTTGATGTCACCTCGATGCCTGTGCGGTTTTCGCAATCTGTCAAGGTGGGAACGATTTGGCTTGGTTGATAAGGCAGGGTCAGCTTCCAATTTTCATCGAACATGGGCTATGGCGACGGTAGCTTCTTGCTACCCTGTCGGGTCTTTTCACCGACCCATTCCTGTCACGTTTAATTGGATTGTTTTTGCACGTAAGATGCATTCCGCAACAAAATTCGCAATGACAGTTCTGAGCAAGTGTGTGAAAGATGGTGTGTGACAAAGTTGTGTGTGACAAAGTTGTGTGTGAAAGATGGCGTGTGACAAAGTTGTGTGTGAAAGATGGTGCGTGACAAAGAGGTATGTGACAAAGTTGTGTGTGAAAGATGGTGTGTGACAAAGTGTGTGTGATTCTTGCTTCTTCTCTGCCCTTCTCTGACTCTTCCCACCTCTGCTTTTCCATCTGTCCATATTGTCGGAAGTTTGACTTCTAAACTTCCTTCGATTCCCCCCCTCTCTTGTCTATCCTTGACCTACGCAGTGCTATCTATCTAGCCGTAGCCATCTCTCTCTAGGTCATCCACCTGTATCTATTTGCGACCTATTTCCACCCCCTTTCATCCCTTTCTTTGTGTGCTTCAACCTATCCCTTTCTATCTTTGCCTGCTTGTCTCTATCTACTCCTCTCCGTTCAACTTCAATCCCTCTGCCTACCTCTACCTCTCTGCATCTATCCGTGCAGGTTTGGATTCATTTGTTGCAAAAAATGAAGCAACAGAATTCGATATAATGATCTTCGTAAGCACACCATAGAGACTGAAACAAACTTGTTGCTTGGGCCTGCACGGCAGTGTCGGCAACCACGTATAAATGGTGAAACATCAAACTTGTGTGGCATCTTGCCTTGTGTCCCCAAGTGAACCATC